CCAACCTTGATGGCAGCCCTACCAACCTACAGTTCCAACAGGGACAGGGCCATCTCCTAACAGAGCAGGAACAGGGATCTGGGCAGACAAGACCAACAGCTGTCCACAACACGACCTCCTCGCAGCTCTGTGGGCAAGCAGGGATGCCAACATATCCAAGTACCAGAATGGACTGGCTATGGGGGTCAATAGCTTAAGAAATTTAACAGATCCTTAGTTCATTTGAGAATCTCCAAAGTAAGTAGGAAATAAGGAAGCCTGTGATTTAAAAGCAACAATTTACTGATAGGCACAATAATGGTTTCAGAGGAAGCAGGCCATTATAACTTGAATAAACAAATAATTAACCTTGATAACAAAAGTGTAGGAATTATGTTCATTCATGGCTTCTTCTCTGCTAGCAGACATGCACCACATGTAATGTACTGTTTTGAGTTTGGAGCGCTGCTTCTCAACTTTTAATATTCAAATAAATGGGATTTGGGGATCTCATGAAGACATAGACTCGAATTTAGCAGATCTGGTGTGGGTCTGAGATTCTGCATCTGTAACAAGCTCAGAGGAGAGTGGTGGTGCTGGTCCACCAGCCACACTGAGTAGCGAAGCACTGGAGCACTGAGCCTCCTCACCGTGCAGCTCTGAGTCCCCTCCCGCCTGACACTGGCCTTCATTCAGCAACGAGGCCTCTCCCGGGCATGTCCAGGAACAAGAGCCCACTGACTTCTCGGCAGCTCTTCAGAGCCGTTGGTGGAGAGGAAGATGGAAGCCATGCGCTTGCTCCAGTGAACTTCGTGGCTGTCATTTATCCAAGTGATCGCACGCCCTTGGGCACAGAGAAGACAGAAATCGTGCCGTTGGCCTCGGATCTGGAAGCAGATGACAAATTGTCCAAGCTGTGTTCTCCAAAGCGCTGCTGGACTCAGCACGGACTCAGCCCCGGCCTTTCGGGGGCAGCGTCTGTCACTGGCGTTGGAAAGCAGACTCATGGCTCACTCAGAAGGAGAAACTTTGAACACGTCGACCGTGTGCCTGCTGGGGGCAGCCAAGACATCTGCTGGTGCCACTGCCCACATCCTGAGAGCGGGGCCCGGGACTCTGCAGCGGCCAGACGGCCTTGTGTCCGTGCCTCGTCACTCATGCCCAGAGTGATGGGACAGTCTGTGAGTGGCCTTTGCTCCCTGCACAGAACTTGCCTGAAGGACAGGAGCAACGGGTGGACAATGGAGTGGCCAGTGGGCAAGAAGAGAAAAGCTAGTGTCAGGCTCTGTGGTGCAACATTATCCTGAAAGGTCCCAGTAGCTACTCTCCACTGTGTGCACTTGAGCTGGACCAAAGATTCTCAACTTAAGAAATATCACAGGAGTCCCACAAGCAGGGCTAGATCCAGTATTCAGAACCCTGAAAGGAAAAAACTTTCTCTTGAAAAGTATTCTTAGAGTCTCTCTCTCTCTCTCTCTCTCTCTCTCTCTCTCTCTCTCTC